ATTCCTGGAATTTACAGAAAACTTAGGAGGGATTCTTCTAAATTTTGGGCTGTGGGAAAAATTTGGAGGGAAATGTTTGAATCTGAATTTGAAACCGTGCTTAGGAAGTGGTATATGGCTTGGGAAAGTGTATTCTGCATGACTTAGGAAGGGGTAGAGTTTAAGAGAGCTTTTACTTTGAAGTCAAACGAAATCTATTAAAAGGGGAGACCTTACCCTATTGGAAATCAATATTTTTTTCGCAGATCTCAAACAATCAGGAACTAAGTTTCCATTTGGAGTGTCTTTGAGTCCCTGTACAAGCCATTGAAGTTAGGCTTTGTTAGTTTCAACCCAGTGTCTTTGTATCACAGTTAAGCTCTCTTTTTTTCTTCTTAGCTATCCCTCTCTCTTTTTTCTCTCATTCCTACATCAATGAAAGCCTAGGAGAGGAGAATAAATCGATTCTACCTTCCCAAGGAAAGTTTTTCTAATCATTCCCAGTAAATTCTTAGTTCAGCTTGAGATGTACAATTACAAATACCAATATACTAGTAACCGTATATTATGGTCGATGAGCTGCAGAGTGACAAGAAAGGATAAGGAATATTGTTAAGACGTAAACCCATTTTTGAGTTTGTGTTATAAGTTGAGCAACTCAACGAGCGTTAATATGCATGTGCATGAAAAGTTTCTAGTAGAAGGATGTTTTAGAGTTCCCATATAGAAGAGTCTAGATAGTTGAAGTAGGTGTTAGTAAGGAAATTTCGAGGGTGTTGTTAGAGAAGAATTCTGGAGTGATATAAAGAGACTCACATTGTGCATTTTAGAGAGAGAAGAGGCTGCTATAAATAAATGCAAGGATCATGTGTGAGAGGATAGAGAAATAATAATAAATATCCGTGGTACTTGTGTGACTTTGTAAAAAGACTGCAACTTGTGCGAAAATTTCCAAATTAGTCCAAAGTGTCGTAGCAACTTCCTTTTTCTTTTTCTCTATTATACCTCCATTACATTGGTTAAAGACTGCAACTTGTGCAGAAATTTCCAAATTAGTCCAAAGTGTTGTAGTAACTTCCTTTTTCTTTTTCTTTTTCTCTATTATACCTCCATTACATTAGTTATGAAAGCTACCTGATAGAGAGATGGCCTTTGCAAGCATTGTGTTTTAGCCCCAAGTCCCCCACCTCTCCATGGCATATTATGAGAATTAGAGCATTCAAATGAAGGCTTACCTAAAGTTAAAAGATTGTTCTTCTGTGTTTCATGATCTTATTTCACAAAGGTTTGATTGCAGTCAACCAATTAAGAAGAAATGGAAGAAACTTGGTTGATGTACGTGTCATGAAAAATTTATTGAGATCTATACTTACAAAATTTGAACACATAGTTGTAGCAATAGAGGAAAGTAAAGTCTATCGGCTATGAATATTAGTCAACTATCTAGATCCCTACATGCTCGGGAGCGAAGAATGTTTCAATAGACAAACAGTCCTCCCAAGCAAGTGTTCTAGCAAAGCTTTCTCTAAAGGATGAAAGAGAACGTGGATTTTGAGGACAAGTATAAAGAAGTTGTGGTTCTACACACATAGGGGGACGAGATCCCGACAACTTTAATATTGGAAGCAGTAAAGGTGAAGTAAGGCACCCTCATGGGGCAAGGCAGTAGAAATTTTGGCCAGCCCTTCAATTGACAAAGGTATGAAATGCCTAATGTTTGGTATTCAATTGTAAAAAATTTGGGCATTATAGATCGGATTGTAGATTTAAGAATTCAAATGAAGATGTTATTAATTAGTGCCATTGGGAACTTTCCTGTAAAGCCAGGGAGCCCTATTTAAACTTGCATGATGCCCTAATTTTCAAGTAGATGGAGCTCGCTCCTATCATTATCGTATTGCACTCCCTAGGTTAAGAAACTCAAAAACCTGAGCTCAGGAACTCCATTTCCAAATTGGAGGATCTCGCTCCCCAGTATTATAATTATCGATCCCATCTAATAGAGGAACTAGATCTACAACACATGGACTGTGTTCCCTATTTTGACGTTGTACGGACATTGTCCCATCTAATAGAGGAACTAGGGATCTTCAGGGTAGCTTCGATCCATCGATCGTACCAGGATCCTGGAACCATTCCCAATCCTGCTCCCAACAACTATGGATGTAATAATATCATGGAGGAAATCCACTCGATGAAACATTCATGAAAACTAAAATAGCTGAGAGTTCTTGGCAAAGGACGAACAAAACATGGTCATGGGCCTTGAAAGGTCTATTTTTGTGCAATGACCATCCAATAGTGAAGCTGATGGACAACCTCATTCGTAAGAAGGTTTTTTTTTTTTTTTGGAAGAGGGGGGGGGGGGGGGGGGTTAAAATGTTAGAAGGAAATATTTGGTAATAAATCAAAAATAAGAAGAATGTTTGGATTGGTTGGAGAAGGTTGACAAAACCTTTAGAAGTCTTGAAGCCTTTTTCATATGGGTTATGTGAATAAAGGAGGCACCCTAATTTGAGTGGTAGTTTGGATTGGGCGACGAGGGATGAATGGGAATTTTTGGGCGAAGAGGGCTTAAAGCATAGAGGCATGAGTACAGATAAGACTAGCTATGGTTTGCATGCTAGACCTAAGGTGGTTAGTCAAAAAACTCGAGGGCCTGGGTTTTGGAGAGTCATGAGCCTTGACACATTGAATTGGTTTGCAAGTCAACCTTCATTGAGATCAGAGTGAATGCAGTGGTTTTGAGCCAAGAGGAATAAGTACACCTGCATGACGTTGTAGAGGCTTGTGAGAGCAAGACCCAAAACCTTGTAGAACATGCATGCATGATAACTTCATATTTGGGGGACTTCGGGTGCTCTATGTGTGTTTGTGTTGAGAGTGGATCCCCACACCATTGAGTGATATATATAGTTGGGTGAGATGACTTGTCCTTAGTGGACCCCAGAAATCCATAGTAACCTTATACTCCATTTACATGTTGGCTAACTTTGATGGACTAATCATGAGCCCATGTAATAGAGAGACATGGGTTATGCGCTTTGTTGGGTTAAGTTGGGAGGTAGAATGTGAATTCATGGTTACCACATACAAAATACCTTGCAATAAGTAATGTGTCATCCCATACAATGCTCACTCTTTCAAGTTTTTCTTACATCTTTAAGTGCATCATATTTGCACTTAGATGAAGATATTAAATATGTTTTACTTCTCTATAGCCACAAAACTATAGTTTTGTGCTCTCAAAGGAGAGATGGATTGATGTGGAGTTAATTTTGTCCTCTCCATAGGACCATTTTGATATTAATTTTTTGTCCTCTCCAAATTTAGAGCACTTGAGCAACATGTGGGCTACGTTTGTGGCATATGTGTTCATGACTCATGTGCATCACATGGGCCCCACTGGCAATGGGTCCCACATGACACTGAGCCCCCTTTTAATTTTTTAATTTGTTTGAGAGATGTCTTTATTTTTATACAACTAATTCATAAAAGGGTTTGGAGAACCCACATATTTTTTTAGTTTTAGCTTTTCAAGTCTCCATTTAAAATAAATAATGTAATGAGAATTACCCCATAGAATGAGTGTAGTGGAGATGATAATGTGGAGATGGATGAATGGCAAGCAAGAAGGGATAGAACTCAAAATGAATCCATATGGGAGAATTTAGGTGTGGCAGCAATAGGCGATAAGATGAGAGAGAATCGACTTAGGTGGGCTGGCTATGTGTGGTGCTGACCAAGTACAACACCTGTTAGGAGGTGCGAGTTAGTTCAAGTGGAAGAACTGAAAAGGACAACGGGTAGGCCCAAAAGGACGTTGTTGGAAGTAATCCGAAAAGATATGGGGACTTATGGCCTCATTGAGGGTATAGCCTTTAATAGAGCAAAATGACATATCAGGATTCGTGTAGTCGCCCCAATTAATTGGGAAAAGGCTATGATGGTGATGATGATGATAATGAATTTAATGAGAATTATTTTAAAAAAGGTTGGTCTTTTTGATAAAGGATTGAGCTTCTGGAATGATTTGAATTCTAGAGATAATGGGAAAGCTGGTGTGAATTCTTTTTGAAATAGAAAACCAATTTTTTCTTTATTTGAAAGATTTTGGGACACGACCAACTAGAGGCAATGGTGTAATTCTCACTCTTATATCATGATGGTTGATCTAAGAATAAAGGGCTTAATTAAAAGCCTCTCTCACCTTAAAAATCTACATAGAAGGCAATGTCATCTCCTCTAAATCCTCACCTTAAAATTTATATAGAGCGTGACCAAATCTCCTACATGATGATAATGTGAGTCTCTTTTGGAGAACACCTGGCTAGATTCCCTTTTTGAGGAAGGGTAGAATAGGTCAAGAGCTGTAAGAATTGAAAAGAACTTTGCCCAAGTTATGATGTGCCATTGATCAGGTAAGATGGATGGTGTACAAAGTCCTTGGAGGTAATCCGAGACAACTCTCAAAGTTTGTTTTTATGTTTCTTTCTTGATTTATTTTGAGTTTGTGTTTGGTGTGTGAGAATGCGGTAGCAATCTAGTCTCCGTCATTGTTTTTGTTTTCTTCTGTGATATATTTTCTTTATTTCATGATGGTTGAATGTACATAGCAGCACATTTAATGTGGGGGATCTAGGCACATGTAATAAAAGTACAAGAAAATCTGTGGAATCTTTACTTTGATCACCTTGCACTTTCCGCTCACAGTCACATGGTCCAGAATTCCAGAATATATTACTTTTGTGGATCTGTTGTGAGGCATGAACTGTTACTCTCTCATGCCCTCATTTGTGGAACTTTGGTTTTAGTTTCTGCTCTTTTCTCAGACTCTCAGTACATGATCAATAAGTAAATTTTATATTAAATAGTAAATCATAGTAATTTACTGATTCTATCTTTCAATTATATACCCTCAGTTCAGATGAAAAAAAGTATGTGCTGTTGTTAGTGAAGCATTGAAATATCCTGTAACATGCTTCTTGATAACCAAATAGTTATTTTGTTCTTGTCTTCAGGGAACTGTAAACGAATGGAAAAGATGCAACTATGGTATCAATTTTAAAGCAGATGTTGCAAGTTCTGTTGTTTATCATTATAATTTGACTATGAGAGGCTACTCAGCTCTCATTTATAGGTACCTGCATATTGCCTTTCCCTGTTTGTGTTATTAATTTGGGAACGAAAGCACAAAAATGTATGTTTTTCATAATCAAAGTTGGAAATTCAAAAATAGCTTCCACATAAGGGGCAGGGATTGTTACTGATTTTGCTAGGATATCGATATTCACTGTAATAAAGTCTTTTTACTGATAATGTGACAAGAATTTTGAAATTTTGAAAACGAGGAAATCAAGATAACTAAGGGGATGGATCTTGATAAATAAGAAAAAACTTTGTTTTAGGTAAAGCTTATGTTTTAAGCCCAAATTGTTAAATCTTCTATGAAGCAATCTAAAGATTATTAGTATTTCCAGAAAATGCTCCTATAATTTTCTGAATCCTAGAATGAAATTCAGTAGGAGATTTTTGGTCCTATTTGATTATATGCAGTATTCAAAATGCAGATTCGGCTGCCTAGACACAGGGTGCCCTCACCAAAATTGAACTCTCCCCCAAAAAAAAAACCAAAAAAAAAGTTCTTAGGGCATGGTTTTAAGTGTTAGGGAGTTTTTAGCGCAATTTTAGAGCCCCAAACTTCTCGTGAAATAGACGAGAACATAATCGTACAAACACATAACAGATTTATGGATACAAGTCTCAAAGGGATTGTAACGTGTAAGACATTAAAATGCTTGAATATGATAGATGCTCAATTTTATTGTCCAAGTGAGGAAAAATTCAATTAATCACAAAAAATCAATCTTTTAACTCTAAACATATAATATATCGTAAAAGAAAAAAAAAAAAAACTTATATGATTCGCAACATAATATATTGAAGGAAAATCAAATCAAAACCCTCTTTAAATATGATAATACTTTGAAAATAGCAAAATCAAATTGACGTCGGTGCAAACCTCATCTATTAGGTCGCCAAAAGTCCTCAGAATCAACTACTAGAAGCTCCAAATCCACCACAAACTATTGCCTTTGTTTTTAGAAAAAAATAAAAAAATCATAAAGTTATCGACCTTTTGATAAATCTCAAAAGAGTGGTTTTTTAGGAGTTTTTTTTGCTCTAAAAGCTGTCGTTTTGGTTTTGAGGGTTTTATAATATCCTCCAAATTTCACCCCTTTGTCAGGGAAAAAATGATTTTTTTTACCCTAAAACCCATTTCGCCCAGATGCAAGACGCATAATGACCCCACCTAGCTTGTTTTTTAAAAAATTGCACTAGGCTGCTGGGCGGGCGAATTTTCGAGCACTGATTATGTGGTTCGACTTTTGAGATTATTGTTATTGCAAAACTATTTGGCGAAGTAGCTGTTTTATGTGGTGGCGCCTAAAATACCCATCGTGGAGATGGATTGATGAGCTGAATCTCCTCCTCCAATACCCTTCATGGAGATGGATTGAGGACCTGAATCTCTTTCTAGACGCTTGGAAATCCATTTCCCCTCCCAAATATTGAAGTTGGAGCTCCTAAAATGGTGTAAATTGACATCCGTATTGTTTTCCAAAGTGGACGATTCAGTAAAAAGGATAGCAAATCGACATATTTTTGGGGCTAGAAATATTCCCCTTTCTTCTTTTCTTTTTTTTCTTTTTTGTTTTTTTTTGGCCAGATTCATAATAATGGAGGCGAGGAAGGATGGATATGCAGATTTTCAGGTCCTCAATTGATACATCTGCAAGATGGGATTTTGAGATGCAGCCATTTTCAGGTCCTCATTTGATTTGATTGCTGAACTGCAAAACTCACTTGGGCTCTGTGCTCTTCCAAACCATCCAACCTTTGGTGGTTATTCTCTTATGGCTGATTCTCTTTCCATCTGGGCGGTGTAGGAGGGTAGACTTTTTAAGAGCCCCTCTTCTTAATTCAATTCATTAATAAATGATTCAAGAATGAATTTGACGTCGATCCCCTGTCCATTTTTTTCTCTCTATGATGGGTATGTTGATACGCATAATTGCAGTTGTGCCAAACCCCACCAATTATGTTTTACCTTGGTGATATTTCAATGTTTTCCAAGGTGCCCCCCCAGGTTTAAGTAGTGTAACTGGCTACACAACAACACATCCACGTTTACATTTTTGCAGGTGGCTTTGATTGGGTCACATTGGTTTTTGGCTTCCAATAGGACATGTATTTGGTTTTGTTTCTTGTCGCTGATGCTTTAATTTGTACTCTCAGTGGAGATCATGATAGCAGTGTTCCATTTATTGGTACTCAAGCTTGGATAAGATCTCTTGAGTTCCCGATCATAGATGATTGGAGAGCTTGGTTGGTTGATGGCCAAGTTGTAGGGTAAGCTTCTTCACCATTTCTCCATTCCAATTGATAAATGGGCTTTAGCTATTCGAAAGATACATAAGCTCTCATCTATGCTCTCTCACTCTCTCTCTCTCTCTGTGGCTCATGTTTTTGCAGCTACACCAGGAAGTACACCAATAATTTGACCTTTGCTACTGTCAAGGTAATACCTTCTACTACTTGCTGCAATCATTTTTTGGGTTTACCACACTCTGCAACACATTTATTGTTAGAGAATAAGTTACTATCTAGAAGACATTTGTATTATCGATAAAGTATTTGAAAGGTCCTATCTGTTTTCTCCTTTGGACTTTAGATCCAAAGATCAATCACTGATCGTATTACAACTTACCCTAAATTCATGTGTGTTTCCGTTTCCAAATCAAAGTTTGGCAAATACAGTCTCCTAGCCATAGTGCGTAGCCGTCTTTAATGGTTCATGTATAAAGTGTCCGCCCTTAGAAATTTTCTCTCTTTATAATATTAACATTACACAAAAATCAATGGAAGATGACAGGCAAGATTGGTTGATATGGAATCTGTTACTATAGCCAAGTCGCAATTCACATTTTGATATACATATAACATACCTGGTATATATGATCAAACGTTTTTTCCATGCTTGAAGTATTGTATCTTTTGTACATTTTTGAAGTTTAATGTAGAGGCCATCAAGCATGCTAGTGAAGAAACTCTATCGAAGTCTTTATTTTCTTGCACACCTCATTTTGAATGAATTGAAAACATGGGCAAGAGTGGTTATGTCCTCGTATTTCATGTATCAAAATGATACATAACATTTGGTTCTTATTTTAGAAAATATAATTTTGTAACACAATTATATGACAGGCTTAAGGGATATTTCAAGAGCATATGGATCTTTGAAATTTTTCCCAAAGTTGCACTGGTTAGGTATTGTCTGAACATTTCAAGAGCATGCTCTGGACTTGATCGGATGAGAGGGATGAGGATTCTATACAGCTATCTGGTGGCCTAGATAACCTAATATTTGACAATGCAGGAGCAATGCTAGGCCGCTTCACACATAGGAGAGAAATTTCGTAGTTGCTGATCACCAATAAGAATGATGTTGAGTCAATTTGAGCTTGTGCTCCAGCCATATGATCAATTTCGAGAGTACATAATAAGGTAAGCTTGAGCTCGTGTTCCAGCCATATGATCGCTTTCAAGAGTACATAATAAGGTAAGCTCGTTTTCATTGCTATATTAGGCTCCACGCAAACCTCACTATTTGGATAAAAGAAATGGAGGAACACCCACCCTGCTTCACGGCTGCCTTCTACTCTTTAGAACTCAAGAACCTTGATTAGAATCATTTGAGCTTGGAGATTAGAAAAAGCTCTAAGTCGAGTGAATTTTTCAGTTGGTCTCCTCACCTTCAACTGATATACATGGAGCTATCGAAAGAGGAAGTGAATCTTGGAAAGAATGTACAAAAGTTTGAACGGACTTTTTTGTTGAATCTGCACCTTTTCCTGGGTAATTTGGGAGTAAGTTTCTTTTACTTCATCAGACTGTTTTAACATAGCATGATGACCTTACTGTTATGAAAAATCTATTTGTGAATCATTAGCATTGTTGAAATTTCTGAAGCTCCTATCCGCTAAAGTATTAAAATCATTTATCTGAGTCTATTGTTTGTTGGGGAAACTTTCTCAATGCATAGATGAGCACAGACAGCTAGTTTAAGGTATGGAAGCTACTGATGATGGTCATCCTAGTTTAGGCATTCCTTGATTTAGTTTTATGTCTTTTCTTCTATTTTATAGTTCACACTTGTGTTCGTCTAGAAATGTGGCTGTGATAGGTTGCGGCCTGAGACTAGTGTAGCTTTTGTTTGAGCACTCCACATTTTAGTTTCCTTGGTTATTTTATATGGTGAGGGTACAAATGTGCTCAACCAAACTACTAGATGTGAGCATCCTCTTTGCCCTTAGCATTGCAAAGCACAAGCATGAACTTGAAAGATGTTCGGGGAACATCATAAAGAATCAATGCTGAGTGATCTTGGATACTTCCTACTCATGAGCTGGCCATTCATGAGCCTATATAGGACATTTACACATGACTAAAATGTAGACAAATTCGAGAGCTGCAGTCTAAAACAAGTGTTTCCTTTATTTTGGAAAATATTTAAAATCTACATTTCCAGAACCGTAAGCTCGCAGGTTGAGAGTCCAACTAAGGATCTGTTATATTCAGTGTGAAAGGGAAAACAAATCCCTTCAATTAAACTAAGCTAACAATATAGATCACACAATGTTGAATGCTTACATAGGGGACGGTGAGGATTCCAAGTGAAGTTTTGGGCAATAAATGGGAGTGTAGACCTATGTTACACTTGTGAGCACATCTGTCCTGCATATGTGTTCTCTTTTTCTTTTTTATGTTATGTTTATGTCCAGCACATTTAAGGATGTAAGGGCAGATTTTTAGGAGATTCAAATGTTGTACAAATTACAAATCTGCCCCAGGGCATTTTACAATGTACATTTTACACTAATGTCCTCAAGTTTGCTGGACAAAACACAAGCATGAAACAATACAAATGAATGCTGTAAAGATTGAAGAGATAAAAGAGAAAAAAAATATCTGAGCCCACAATTGGGTAAAATTTAGATGTCTTTCATCCTATTTCAATCATGGGCAATGTGCCCTAAATATACACATGTATCCTTATAAGAGTTATAATATAGGCCAACTATCATGTAAGTTACAACTGTCATTTATAAAGGTTACAGCAGCAAAATCATCTAGATATATAGTACAGATATGGGTTTTCAAAAGTGCAGGGGTTATTGGTCAGTGTGCCTTATCACCATAGGAGATTTCCCTAATGGGCATGAGCCAATAGTTAGTGCTGCAAGTTTCCCGAATGGGTGTGAGGCCCATAATCTTCGCTACACTCCCCTGAAGCTGGAGCATATATATCGTAGATGCCCAGCTTGCCCAAAGTTTCTTTTTGTTGAACTTGATTGGACGGTTTGGTAAGTATGTCTGCTAATTGATTCTTGAAGTGAAGAAATGGAATACGTATCTTCTTTGAAGCAACGTTTTCTCTTATGAAGTGATAGTAGATCTCAATATGCTTGGTTCTTTAGTGAAATACAGGTTCAAGGCAATAGAAATTGCTGCTTGATTATCACATTGTAAAGAAATAGGACCTGCTGCATTGACACCCATCTCTTGAAGAAGAAAACAAAGCTAAATTATTTTGCATGTAGTTTTCAATTGTTCGATACTCGGCTTCTGCTAAAGATGAGCTATAAAACTCTTCTTACTCTGTTAGATGACTTAATTACCACCACTATCTTTGAGTAGGCACTGGTAGATCGTTGATCAAGAGAGCACCCAGCCCAATCTGCATCACAAAAGCCTTGTATATAAAAGTGAAGCGACTGGTATAAAGTAGTCCTCTCCCTAGAGCTGATTTTAAAAATTATAACATGCGATAAACAACCTCCAAGTGATGGGAGCATGGTGATTGCATAAACTGACTCAACACTCCTACAGTTATTACAACATCTGCCTGTTAGACAATCAAAGAGATAAATCTGCCTAATCTCTAATGTACAGCAAGGTTATTTAGATGCTCTGATTGCTGCTCATACAGTTTGTGATTAACCTCTATGGGATATCTATAGGTTTCGCTTTGAGCATTCCTGTGTCATATAGTTTGTGATTAACCACGTATACTACCGGTATTATGGTTGAACAAGAATCACTTTTAACATACAAGGTGATAAAAAACACTTCTTTGAAATCTGAATAGGCATATTAATGTACTAAATCATGGTTGTTGGAAACGATTCTGAATCTGAATCGTGGAATTGCGTCCAGATAGAAGATTCCTGTTTTTGTAATCGACATTTGAAAGTTGGACTATGTAACTTGTAACCCAAGGTAAGTGTATACCGATTAAACGTTTCCTATCTTTTATTTATTTTCACCACCCGGATTACTTATAGATGTCCAGATACATAATGAGAAACATTAAAACACAAAGAATCATGAAGCACATAATACTTTTATCACACAAATAAAATTGCATAAACTTGATCTTGGGATCATGAAGCACATAATACTCATGGGAATAATGATCACAAGAAAGCATAAAAGGAAGACACCAGAGATTACTTCAACGGGGCTACAGGTGATCAATGGTCTATCTTGGATCTACCACGTATAGGAAAGATTAAGGCTCAATCCTTAATTATGAGAATGTGGAACAATTAATTGCATAAAGATTCAATGCCTTCACTAAGTGGGGCATGCCCCTCTTAATACTTAAGTGGGGCATGCCCCTCTTAATGCCTAAATGGGGTATTCCCCTCTTAATGCCTTAGTGGGGTGTGATTCCCTTCTAACCCCCTTTAGAGATCTTGAGATGAGAGAGGAGAGAGATGAAAACCTAAGGGTGGCATGCCACCCTTCTAGAGAGAGTAGAAAGAGATGAGATTTGTAGTGTAGAGAATTATGGGAGAGGAGTCCCTTATTTATAAATTTTTCATGGGCTAGGGTTTCCCTAAGGTTAGTCATCCTTAGTGAATTTTGATCCAAACCATTGATCATAAGAGACCTGTGGAGTGAGAAATATGAGTCATTCTTTCATTAGATCAGCTATCATGATTAAAAGGAATGTATTAGAACCTTATTCTCTATCATCTTAAATCTAATCCTATCAAATATTGTAATATGGAAAATTTTCTCAATTTGACTATATTTTTCCATAATCTTCTTACACAATATTTTGATTGAAATCAATCTTCCTTAAATTTCAAATGATATCAAAATATTTCATCTTGATTTGCAAGCCATTTTAGCTTGGCCAACTTTTAGTAAGGGTTGCCTTGAGTGGGGTGTGTCACCCTTGGTGGTTTTCATGTGGTCCCCACTTCAATCAAGTCATGTGCAATTTTTATGGTAAGAGGGGTGTTTCTTATTGAGTAGGGCGTACCACCCTTAGGTGGCCACATATGGGCCCCACTCAATCCGCCATGTGATTTAATTAATGGTGGGCCCCCATATGATTAGTAAATTATAAAATTCATATTTTGATTTTTAGAAATTTGAAAATAAACTTTATTTTCTTTTGAATATTTAAATATTGAAAAATGATTATCTATAGATTTATAAATTCAATTTGTAAAATAAAATATTCAGAGATTCAAAAAAATTCAAATAATCCATCTAAAAATCATATATCATCAAAATAATTGAACCAAATAATTTTGATGGGAATCAAATCCGACAAGGTCTAGGAATTATAAAATTGCCGAAGCACTCCACCTTCTACTATGGACTATAATCCACACTTGCTTTCTCAAACTAACCCAGCGGTTCCCTTGACCCGCAAACTACTGTAGGGTTTCATGATTGGGCGACGAAAGTTTGCCAATAGGCAAGAAGACACAATCTCAGTCTATAGACTAGAGGTTTTCCTCTAGAGACAAACCAAGGTTACGTAAACCGGATGCAACTACATCTTTACAGTGCATAGAATAATCTCTCGTACATGAACACACTTCACCCTAAACAGTGGTTTACTTTCTCGATACGTCTATCATATGTACAATGTCGTGCGATGGTTCAGTGGTAAGGCTATGGCTCTCGTCTCTAAAAGCCAACCAACACACACATGGGTAACACAGTCCCTCGGCTCACTCATCTGGGCAACTTCGACCTCATCAAGGGATGACCCACAAAACCCGCATTAGTTTAGTTCTATGCCAGGTACCATAGGTTTTCCAACTCGACTGGCTGAGCACGTCAAGCGAAGTCTGAGCATTGACAAATAGCATTTGTCTAGTATGGTTCACTAAGGACCATACCCCTATTGAGTTTAATCAAGATATTACTTACAAGTTCTTATAAGGCCTTTAATTGCCACAGAAATCCAACATCTCTCACTTGGCCTTTGAAGGCCTTACAATTTCTCTTCCTCATATTTTCGTCCCCCAATTGCAAGCTCTCTCAAGCATTTCTCACTTCTTCTCTCTCATTACCTTAACCTTGACGAACTTTTTCGTCATAAATCCTTTCACAAAGGATTTATGGATGCAACTTCTGAGGGAATCATGAAGCCTATTTCTCTTTGCTGCTTGGATCACATCTTGAACGTGGTCGTAGTCCATCTTTTTATGTCGCATTGTGAATCCAGACTCGTTGTCACTGAAGATCATTACGTACCCTCGTTTCATGGGGTCATATCTCAACAGATCAAGGGAGTTCTTTAATAAAGTTTCTCCCTTTTGTAGCCATACAACCAACACCACATATCTGAATTCTATGGGTGAACTACATTTTTCAGCTGGTCTGCCAACACAACCAGGTATTGCCACCGGAATGTTAAGCTATCCGGATCTCTCATAACAGGATACCTACATTTCTGAATATCCAAGTATCTAAAAATAATCGTGGGATTGTTAATAGCTCCCTCTCAAACATAACATGTAAAAAAAAATATTATCTCAACATTCTCATGCATGTA